AAGAGAAAGGAAGACACGTACGTTTGGGTGGCGTTCCCGGTGGGTCGCGCTTCTTCTCAGGCGCAGCTGGATTGCAAGGACTCGAAGGTTCGTGAACTACCAGAGCGTGTCGTGGTCAGAATCAGAAAGAATATCATGTTGAATCCAACGTACCGTGTTCTACATTTTTCACACCATCCCAGCTCTCTGGTGGAGGTTCAGTGCGAATCTGCGGGAGGTTGAGCCTGGCAAGGATCAGTTAGAAGAGGAGACTCTTACACGCCAACGTCGCTGGTGCGCCTTGACAGGATTTACTTTGCTCTTTCTCGGACGTTGAGCCGGACATGGCGGCTTTGGCTCAGGGGTTCCATCAGGAGAAGAGCTTCGTTGTCGTCGCCCGTATGTGAGAACTTCCATGGCTTGTGTATGAGCTGGTTGGGAACTACTTGAGCCGTCTGCGGAGTTTTCTGCTTGTTTCCTGAGTTTCAAAACGTTCCTGTCCCAAGGTTGGAATTCATCAGCGTCCCACGAGAAGCTGGTCTACGCACCCACCACCATTTCCCTCGCGTAGCCCCTGAACCCACAGATATATGTCGCTGCCCGTCTCGATGCCTTTCGGCGAGCCTAACATGCTGGCGCCTGTAGAGCCAAGCACATTGAAAGTGCAGACTTCGAGAACGAGGTGTCCGGAGCTGGACATGCCCATGCCTGGATTGGGCACACGGGCGAACATTGGTCGGAAGTCCTTCATGCTAATGATAGCAGTCTTGAATGACGATATAGAAAGCGATCCATACACAGGGTGCCTGTCGTTCGGGAATCGTGCAGGTTGGTCAAACAAAATAAAACATAGTCCACGTACTGTCTGTAGACCTTCATCGCCTCCTTACTGAATCGCACAGGAACGATATACTCGCGATCAGACACGTGGGCCCATATCCAGTTATCTTCTCCTTCAATCTGCCGCGTAAGGAACTACTACCGTCGCGAGTTGGATCACAAATGAGCTTGAAAGACTGGCGAGAAAAGCAAACGAGACGAGCCTTGATAATTTGCACTTTTTTGGCAGCAGAGTGGACAGGGACAGACAGGAGGTCGCCCCCGTGTGTCTCCGCGACGTCGATAAAGTACTCATGTAGCCATGGCAGCGTAAGAGACTTGGACATGGCGGGGGAGGGCGGGGGCCGTCCAGCGTGTTGGCGGTCGGGAGTTGCGGGCCCTCAGCCGGGACGCGTCTTGCGCCACAATGCCGGCGCGGGTCAATGCATCACGTGCGTGTAAACAAGGCCGCCGCGTCTCCCGACCGCTTCAACGGCCACTGAAACGCAGATTTAGCCATTGACAAAATTCGAGGTTTACATATTCGTGTATATGCCACTGTAACAAGAGGAGAATCCCACGTCATCGGGATGCAAGACCTATAGCTTCAATCTGCAACAAATCCTCAAAGTTATCAGCCCAGAGGCGTCGGTCAGCTTTCCGCGCTCGCTCCGTTTCTTGAATTTGGAGCATCGGATGTTCAGCCAGCGTGGAGAGGAAGGATTTGGCTGCATAAACACGCTGTCGAACAACGCGATCTGCTCAAAAGCCTTCTGATCAATGCATGTCAGTCTGGGATCAGAACCCACCCAGCTACCGCAGACCTCAAAAAAGAGACAATATTGTAGAGTGCACCAGGGGCAGGACGCGAACAAAGCCGACACACATGCTGATGTGATAAGAGGAAGCCGTAGGTGGTCACTCTGAAATTCCTCAGCACGAAAGCCGGGGAGCAAGAGAGGAATTGTGAGATCCGTGAGCTGTAGAACGCTGTACTAAGGCTCAAGCTCAACCTACACACTTTCAGACCTATTATTGCAGAGCCGTAGTAGGAGAGTATGTAGATTGTGCCATGCCGAATAGATAAAGTCTTCGACAGCACGCGTCGCTTGTCCAGAGATCAAAGGGAAGATAACGTGCATAACGTCTTACTACGTACACTGAGCGTCAAAAGTAAATGAACACCACGCCGCCCGAGATCCAGCCACTATTGCAGCATGAGTCTCCAAGCTACTCCTAAGCTTTTATTTGTGTACATTCTACAAGGTTTTGGCTTGAATATTCACAGAAAATTGTAATATAATGATTAGCAAAAATTGTGCACTACAGCCAGTTTCTAGAGCAGCTTTTGCATACATAATGCAGGTTTGGATGTAAGATCTATACCACAAACTATTCGGCTCTCTGGCAGCTATATTTTGAGTCTGACTTGCTCAAGAAAATTTTTGAGACTCTTTCAGGTATTTTACATGGAAGCAATTGTGCTCTGGAAATTTGAGGAGTGGAGGTGTTACATATTCTCCCAGAAGTCCATGCGCATTCCCTGCCACTCAGATGGCCATGATATGACTTGGAATAGCATAGGATAGAGTTTCCATCCAATACAGCTCATTGGAAAGCATGTATTTGGTTGAGAGAAGGCAGTTACCTGTGGAACTGACAGACCAGAGAGCACCAGTCAAGTATATTGCATCCTGGCATTGTAAATCCCCACAATTATATTTCAAACCTTTGTCAATCTCTTGTATATTATCCTAAGAAGTAGCATAGTTCCCTAAGTTGTGCTCAACTCTGTGTAGAAGAATGTTCTGGAGCACACTTTAGAGGGAACATGCAAGCAGTCCACCAAGGAAGGTGTGTATGCTTTGCCTTCTTTCTCCTGAGTTCCTGATCACAACTCTGCTAAACAATTGCAAGGTTGTTTGACTCACTGAGTGTAAAAGAGGGGCCTTCAGTCTCTAGCCCAAGAGTCAGTAGTGGAAGGCAATGTGAGATGAAGATTACTGCCAAGATCCATTATTAGCTGGGAAAGCTCTGGAGAGCATCCCTTATGATAGCCCTGGGTTACTAGGAGCAAGGGGTGAAGCATCCTA